CAAATCCTCCTGCTGTTAAGAACAATTTCTTTCTTTCCAACTTACTTTTTGCCCTCCTACTACTTTTTCTGGGTGAAAATTCCTTTGCCATGTTCATTATCTGCATCTTAAATAATTGAAAAATGCATTTTGGCAAAGGGTACATCAGTTTTCATGGTTTTAATTCAGCTGCTGAGTTCACATTAACTAGCATAAAAGTCCCTGAGCGCCTTCCATCTGTAATCAGTTTCTCTGTGTCCAGTGTCGTTATTCCATTTGTTTCGATTTTGGTGTATCATTATGATGGCTAATCCTTTTCATACGCTTTATCTTGCTGAAGTTCCCAAAATAAAGTTTGATATTAAAATCAGATGACAGGCAGGCTGGTCAGAAAGGCAATATTTCTTTTTCACTTCTGTGAGTGTTATGCATCTCTACTTGATGAAAGTCTTGGTGGTGTGATTCTCATTGTAATTGGTGCAATACTCCAGTCAATGATAGTGTCTTTTTGAAATATGCATGAAAAAGTCCATAACGTTAGTGGAATGGACACACTCCAACATATCTCTCTGGTCTGGCTTTCTTATAAAGATTTTAAGTTACTGTCTTAATTAGATCCTAATATTAACAGGAATATTATACAAAGCTAAATGAGGACATAAACTTCAACTGAAAGCTACTTCCACCCAAGCCCCTGTCCTCTAGTCTGCACGCACCAGATCATTCTGTAACATTTTCATTCTTCGTATTGGTTCCACTGACTGCTCTTTTTTAAGCTTTTAGGAACAAATAATGCTTTTTTCCATAACAAAAGCTTTCAAATCTGTCAAGAAAGCAAGAAATTACCTTGCTTAGGTTTGATATGCAGTAATTTTGGTTACTGTCCGGGCATTTCTTCAGTCGAAGCACTAGGAAACTAATGAGACAACCTACAATACAGTAGATTAACTTGGTCACTTCCCTATTTTCTTTTTTTTTCAATGTTGCTGATTTTGTCCTCATGAGCTGTGACACAGGTGTACAAACAGAAGTCTATCGCTGAAGGTCACTGTATGTCTTCTCCATTTATTAATAACCAAGAAAGTATTTTGGCCCTTGAAGTAACATCCAAACACCCCTTCTAGAGCTGCCCATTACAGACATCCCTGTAAATCATATATATGTACAAAGTTCTGGCAAAGCAGCCCTAGTTAGATGAGTCAGGATCTTCCGTACACAGTAATGAAGACCAAGCAGAGAGTTGTGCCTACATTGTGCTGTGAATTTTCCTCTTTCGTTTCCGTATCACAGCATGCTCAGTCAAAGCTATTTTGGTACTTCACTGATCAAACTGATTTTTCCCTTTGATGATAATATGAAATATGATTGGTTAATAGGGTTGTTACATAATCAAAGTCGACAACAGGGAGCTAAATTTGTGTTGTTTTGATGAAGAGCACATTAGTGTGACATAAATAGACTAATCTGATTTATTATTATTATTTCTAATGCTTAATAATAGGGAATGGAAAGGGAAATGAGACTCTGGGGAATGAGAGTGCATCACAAAGTGACAGCAGACGTCTGTGTGCTACCGAAACACAGGTTAGGTAATTTGGATATTAGGATGTCTTGTCATAAGCAGCACTACTACCTGCTTCTAGCTGAATTTCAAAAGACCAAGTAGCAAGCAAGAGAGGTTGAACTGAAAGAAATAATGTCTGAAGTGGAATAAAACTAGTAATGTACCAGATAAAATATTTCCTGAAAAGCAAAAATAGGGCAATAAGAAGTCAGAGACAGAGCAGACAAAAAATCCGATCACCTTTCACCGACTGATTTTTCATGTGTCACTGAAAAGCTGGGATTAATCTTGGACAAAACCTTCCCTTTCACGATACTGTCTGTTCCAGTTCCCGACAGCCCAAGTCGTTATTCACACATCAGTCAAGAACCACAAGAATGATGAAAGAGAGAGGTGTATTTTGCCTGGTATGCTGATGTGTACACAGAAGAGTTCTTGCATTTCTGGCTCCTCACAAAGCAAAGTCCTGCAATAGCTCATGCAAATGTCTGAATGCACGCAGGCCTGCAAAGGAAATGTCTTGCCACTTTAGAATGTCATGTGTGACAAAAATACAGATTGGACAGGTTATTCAAACAGAAAATAAAAGTAAATAAACATTTTTTAAAATCCTAAGGAATGCAGATACATTTTAGCAAAACACTTTCCCCCATACACACTCATTTCAGCTTTTAGAATTAAAAGTATCACTATGGAGATCTACTCTGGCTCCTTCATATCAACACACAATAATTTCTTCAACCATGTCTATAAACTTCAATTAAGCTAAAGCAGAGCTTTTAGAAAGCCGTTGAGTTTTAATACAAAGACTACAAGTGGCAGATAACCCGGGACATGCTAAGTTAAGTTGCTCCCCTAGTTAAATACCCCTTACACCTTGTATTAAAATTTACTCTTCATTTATGATTCCAGAGGGAAGATTTAGCAACAATCTAGCTACAGTATGTAAGAGGTTTGAAGTTCTCTAGTTCAACATGATTCATAGTACGTTTAAAGATTATTTTTATATGCAGCAGAAATAGAATTTTCCCCTTTTCCTAAAGGGAAAAAAAAAAAAGGCTAACCAAAGTTTCATATGATGTAACTTTTTTTCACAAAACTGTTTACATTTTTTGCTAAATGTCCTGTTACAAAAAGTTCTTCTTTGCTAGGCAGAGAGAATTTCCCTCGAGTTCTGTAAAACCCCAAACTTTTCCTGCTTTTCTCTGGTGTCAAATACACTCAGCAGTTCTACATGATATAGATGTGGATATTCTAGGCATTCTCTTTCTTATTTTCTTGGCAGGGATAGAAACCTACATTTATTTGCACTTCTGGGATGCCACCAGCAAAGACTATAAAAGTGAATTTGGACAGCAACCCTTATGGAAACCAGCTTCTAAGTGGTCATCACTGAAGTGGGTTAACACATCCTGAAACTGCTTTTTTAGGTATGCTTGCTTCAATACTTCTGCCATCAGCGTTTGCCTTAGGCCGTGGTACAAGCAGCACATCATCAGTGCATCCAGCATGCTTTCCTACTATGCTAAAGGATGTTATCCCCACATATTAGGCTGAAAAAGTCCATCCTCATCCATCCTCATTAAGAAGTTATTTCTTCGCTAATCTTAATGGAGGTTTTCATGCCACAGCAATTTATAATCCCAAAGGAAGCTGCACAGGGGAGTCAAAGTCATGGATACTTGCTTTTCATTTACTTGTGGAAACACAGATATGGAAATTAGGAGAACATGAGCATATTTGATATAGCTAATAATTTAAAACCAGAGAGAAGAGAACAGAGGAGGAATGACATTTCTTATTTCTCCCTATTAATGCTTTTTATGGATGCCTCTTTGAAAGGATATCAACATCCATCAGCACACAGAGCTCATAGCTGGGACTTGTACAAAAACACACCATCTAGTTTAAGAAAAAAAAAAAGGATTATTGCTTTTACACTGAGAGCACAAAATGGTAGAATCAGCAGGAGGTGATTAGCGCCAAAAAAAGATGGGGTTTGCATGGTGAGTTAACACGGAAGGCGATTTAAAAGATAGGATTAAATCAGAGACAAAGCTGCAGGTAAAATTCCCAGTCTTACCCCTGTCAAATCAAAGATAAATCTCCCAAACACACTAAATCCCATGTAATCATTGCTAATTCCTACTGTCTTAAAAGAGAGCTGGATTAGGCCTCTAATTTGGTTCTGTAAAGTCTGTTTGGTCCAGATGAACAACCAAGAGACAGACAGTCTCCAAGGAACAACTCTATGACATGATCTCCACATCTTCCACTACAACCTGCCAACACAATCACTCTTGATGTTACCCTCCAAGCACTGGAGTAAAACTGCTTTTGCCTATTGCTGCTAAATGCATTTTACTTTCCACCTAGCAAAAAAGCAATAGTACATCTAATCTCACAAGTTCCCAGTGAGCCAAACACAAGATACTGTCCCTTGAATTCTTCCTGAGACCAACAAAGGCTTTCCATTATTTACAAATCAAAAGCATTTAGAGACAATTATCTTTATTTTTTTGTTTAAAACAAGGAATGCCCTGTCACTATTATAGAAGAAAAAATATACATCCACCTATTTATACCCATCTTAATCCAAGCATTCCAAAAAATATAATTCCTATTCATGCAGGTAATTGCTGCACAAATTGGAACCATTGAAAATTGTAAAAGTAAATGTAGTTAAATCAATAGGATTATTTGCTTTTGATTATTAATTTCATTGCTAGTTTTTCTTGTGTTTTTATTATGCATACCAGTTTTACAAAGTGCATGCTTTATTTTTTTTAAATTTTGAACTGGCAAGCTAAAATGATCCATCTTTTCCTGCCTTTTTTAATGTTAATACAATCTAAAATCTAGCATTAAAAAATTTATCATGATACACCTGGTATATTGACTGCTTATGGCGCATGCTTGTCTTGGCAAAAAATAAAACAAATTGGCCCACCTCCCACCCACCCCGTTCCTTTTGGAAGCAATTTAAAAGTTAAAAGCAGGCTGGAACACAATTGCTTCAAGGGAAAAAAAAATAATACCTGATGCTTTAATTTTTGTCACATGGTACTGGTTGTGGAATTGCACGCGCACACACACGCACACACACCCAACACGCACGCAAGCACACACGCACACTGCAACCTGCTCATGAGGAAAATAGTTTATTAGGTCAGGAGTGCCAGTGGCACATGAAGGCTCCCAGCTGTGTGTGCAACTTTGGATTTGGTACCCACTTCACGTCACCTTGAATCCTCTGACATCCACCGAGGGGGTAATGTAAGGCATACTTTGCTGGAACAGTAATAATCCATGCTTCATGCTCAAGAGCTGAGTCTCGGAGGAGGACTGGCTTTCTCTACTCCCTTTGGCCTCACTCCGTCTCACTCAGGGAACAAAAAACCCAAAACAACGGAGAAGAACTGGGGAAAACAAGGAAAGCAAAAGAAGACAGATCCCTTTAAATGGACTTTCGCCTTTTCATCAGCCTGTGGTTATCTGTAAAGCTGTGCAACCCAGGTGAGATGGAGCTGACAGGAGATGGGAAAAGGCTGTTTTTTAATGTGCTTGGCGAGATCTCCTCTATCTTGTAAGAGATGGAGTGAAAGTACTGGGGGTTCAGCTTCGAGCTGAATGAATTTTGGTGGGACACCACCCGGCTGGTGTACTCGTGGGACCTGTAACACATGCAGGAACAAACTGACTGAAGGTCTGTTACTTCGGCCTTGTACCGCGGCCGACCATGCTGGGAGTCCTCTTGGATGTGGATAATCATGCTGTTGCGGTTCCCTGCCAGGGATGCCCGTTCCTCAGCATCCCGCCTCTCGTCCTCGCTGTTCATGGTTAAGAACCTGAGAACAACCAGATTTAGAAATGCCCCAATGACTGTCAACCCCACTAGAATGTACATAAAGCTAAAAGCCACGTAGAGAGGCTTCTTTTGAAGGGCCCCTTTGGTCTGCAGGGCCACATAGTCTCCAAACCCTATCGTAGTCAATGTTATAAAGCAGTAATAGTAAGCATGGAAAAAGCTCCATTCCTCGTACTGGGAGAAGGCTGCTGCTCCAATGCAGAGTGTTCCCATGCAGGAGAAGAAACCCACAGTGACCATGTTTTCCATGGAGACCTCAGTGCTCCTCATCCCACAGCACTTTTTGATGCGTTTCAAGAGGTACTTGACAAAGGTGTTCATGCGCTCGCCCAAACTCTGGAACATGACGAGTGTCAGTGGGATCCCCAGAACCGCGTAGAACATGCAAAAGGCCTTCCCCGCATCCGTCCCTGGGGCAGCATGTCCGTAACCTGGGAGGGGGAATGAAAAGAGAGGACAGTCAGCAAGGCAGGTGATGACCACAGCTCCCCCTTTCACACATGCCACATGAATTGCACAGACTGATACCGCAGCGAGATCCAAAGCTACAGGAACGTTGCAGTCACAGAATCTTCCTGTCTCCTTGCCTATATCCTGTAACTACAGCACATAAGACACAGAACAATAAAATTGTACACACAAGAGTGGGAAAGACGAGAGAACGGGCAATCCATCCTACTTCAAATAACTGCACTCTGCTAAGCAAGATTATATCGCATTCATTCGCTAAAGAAATTTCACGTGCATCCTCTATCACATGCAATAGTGAGAACTTTTAGGTCGACTTTTCCACAGTATCTTTGAGAGGAGTTAGTGTTGCCCTGTCCCAAAACCAAAGTGCAGTGATGGCATCCACATTCTGTGTCTGCTGGCAGCATGGAGTTAACAACGTCCGCAGACCTACCCACCGAAGAAATTCCTTTCCAAACTCTTCCATACTGAAAAAACCTTTCTCCTAGACACCCTATGAAAGCCACTCACTGTTGGAATACCATAGGATTTTAGTGTTTTAATGCTTCTCTATCTTTAATTATTGAAGAATAAACAATTTACCAGATTGTTTTATAGTTTTACAGTTTTTATAGCCAGTCTGGCAAAGGCCATCTCATCAGGATGTTAAAATAACCCAGGACAGAGGATGTAGCATGTTTCCCAGCATAGTTTACAGATGGTAAAATCATGGCTAAGCCTTTATTTTAAACCAAACTGTAAGGTGGGGCAGGGTGTTTTGAAATTATAATTTCACTTTTTCATGTCACACTGCTTTAAAAATCTACATTTCTTACAGCTGAGATTCCAAGTGACAGTACCAAGCTCTCCAAAATGGGACAGCTGGGACTTACCTGCTCACATGGTGTGCATTGACCATGTGGGTACCGCAGTCTAGACTCCCCCGAAAATCAATGAATAGAAATATGTACTTCACAAGTGCAATTCCTCTCATCTAGGCCTAGATGTCTAAAATAGGTCAACGAGTTATTCTCAAGAGACACCTATTACTCTACAGTCATTTTAATATTAATCTTGGGACAGAACTCAGTTCAATATACCTAAATTTTGGTATCTACATGTGGGCTGGGTGTCCAAGCTCCCATTATAGTCAACAAAGTCTTCATGAAAACAGCCAGCAGTCAGTTATTTAACTGACCATCCCGAGTCTACCTTATGACTGTATTCATTAGGTCCCCATTAGACTGACTAGATGTCTGCTGACTGCAGAAGAATTTAGACACCTGCTGCACAGATAGACAACTACCTGCAAACAGCGGAATGCATGAGTAGAGCTCCACCTTCAGTGACTAGCTGCAGTGTAGGTGCCTGCATTGTAGACACTGAGGTTCTAAATCAGCTTTCCAGAAAAAGGCATCTAGCATCATTTGAGACACCTGAGACAACAGGATATCCAGAGGCATGGCAGATGAAACACAGGGCATACAGCAGACCCACACTGTTGACAGATCAGAAGCTGGAGGCCAGACAGCACCTGAGATACTACTGAGGCAGGACCATTCCCCTTGTACTGCCTCAGCCCTGGCCATCACCTTTCGACTCAGGTTGTGAACCTGCTGCTCTGGATTTGTCTAATTTTTTTTTGAACCTGTTGACACTGCCCATTGTCCCACAACCTCCTGTGGTAACAGATTCCAGAAGTTCATTATCTGCTGTGTTTAAAAGTACTTCATAATCTCAAGAAGATCTCCTCATTTTAGCTAGAGCCCGTTAGCTCTAGAATTAAAGTTCTACATCTACTTTATCCACCATCTGCATACTTCAGCTAAACTCAGCTTTACCTCTGCTCTCATTTGTCTGCTGTCTGAACTGGAGCCACAGCCTTTTAGCTCATATCACAGAATGACAGAATCACAGAATGTTCGGGGTTGGAAGGGACCTCTGTGGGTCAGCTAGCCCACCCCCCCTGCCAAAGCAGGGTCACCTACAACAGGCTGCACAGGACCTTGTCCAGGCGGGTCTTGAATATCTCCAGAGAAGCAGAATCCACAACCTCCCTGGGCAGCCTGTTCCAGTGCTCCGTCACCCTCAGAGGGAAGAAGTTCTTCCTCATGTTCAGATGGAACTTCCTATGCTTCATTTTGTGTCCATTGCCCCTGATAACTTTCCTTTCCTCCACTTGCTTGATGATGACCTCTAGAATGAGTTGTTCCATCGTCTTTCCTGGGGTGGAGGTAAGGCTGACTGGCCTGTAGTTCCCTGGATCCTCCTTCTTGCCCTTTTTGAAGATTGGAGTGACATTGGCTTTTCTCCAGTCCTCGGGCACCTCTCCTGTCCTCCAGGACCTCTCAAAGATGATGGAGAGTGGCTCAGCAATGACATTTGCCTGCTCCCTCAGCACTCGTGGGTGCATTCCATCGGGGAATATATAGCAGAAATCACATTCCCTTGATCATTTCAATGTCCTTCTCTGGACCTTCTCTAGTTCTACTACATTATTTTTGAGGTGCAGAGACCAGAATGCTGCATAGCCCTCAGGATGTGGGTGCACCACAGTCTGCAGTTTTGATAGAAGAAATATACGAACATCAGGCAACCTTCAAAATGAAAAGCAACAGTGGACAGGAAAATAAAATGAGAAAAGTAGCAAGAATGCCCCTCAAAAATCGACAGGTATTTCCTTAGCTCAGTTGGTAGTTGTTGGCAGATGGATGGGATGCAAAAAACGGTTTACAAAAGAAGGACATAAATCAAAATAGGAAGTTTTTTTCAGGTTAGAGAACAAAGAGATTCACCTGTTGTATTGGGCTAGGTAGCCTGTTCATCATAAAAAGCAGTTTGCAAAATACCTGGAAAGGGAAGTGTCTTCAGTAGATTGATGCTAGGTTTGTTCCACCTGACTGTCCCTCAGTAAAGGCTATAATTGCCTCTCATTACTAAGATCAGCTTTTGAACTACAGGGGCGTTAATTAAACCAGGGATATCTTCCCATTTTATAGCTTTAGTTACAGCTGATAAAGAGAAGAAAAGCTTCAGAAAATGTGATTTTCCAGATGGTTGCAGAGATGGCAGTTGGTAGAAACAGCTTTCACTTTGGGTTCTAAAGATAATGGCAGGGGTCAAAAAAGATTTCTTTTGATATTGCTATACCCCTCTCACTAAAGATATCCACAGAGGCAGTTTAGGGAGATTATAAAACATTAATATTACATGCTTACTCACTATCTCACAATTGAATTTTCCCAGATTTGTCGCAGACTTTGTAATTAACTTGGGACTCGCAGGTCTCCCGTAGATAGGAATACATCCATATCCCTGTTTTACAGGAAAGCACAGACACCAGCAGGCTATAATTTCTTTCCAATTCAGAAAGGTAGACGAATATTCAGAAATTCTAATTTCTATTCTGTCGTATTCACTTTCCACAATATCAGATAAATGTCTTTTATCGTGTTTTCACCATGAAGCTGGGGTAAAGAAAGGACTTTATTCATGAAGCTGGAATAAGACTTTACAAATAGATTTATGTATAGGGTTTCAGAGTCATATATTTCTCCAGGACATCATGGCTTTAAGGAATAGGCACCTTAGACATTGCCTTCAGCACTCTGAAACGAGGGGTTTCAAAATACACGGAAGAAAGACTTAACTCCTTATTACTTTAGCATTACAGAATCTATCCAGCAATGCACAGAGCAATACATGAAAAGTGAACTCCAGCGATGCATGTTCTGTGAAATTTGGTAAATCTCAAATTTAAAATAAACCACTGTCTTAACATCAGAGACTGCCTCTGGGAAAAATGAGAAGGTCAGTAATTACCAGAGGAAGAGGGGCACAGGGGATCATTAACAAGGTGAAATAGCCCTCTGCAGTGCAGAGGGTCAGCCTCCAAGTAGTTGGATTTTACTCATGTCAAGTAAAGGCAGAAGCAGAAGCAACTGCCTTGGTAGCAGATTTCAGCTACCAAAATTCAGCCTAACTTCTGCTACGTGAATGGCACTGCCCTTTCCCAGAGTATAAAGAGACGGCTCTGTGTGAGCCACACAGAACACAAGGCTTAAAGAGAAATAGAAAGGTTAAGTGTGACATTGGTATTTTTCACTCTGTTGTGGTGAAGAAGAAAGATCAAACAGAAGACCTTAAAATTAAGTATAGCAAATGCATCCCCTAACAAGCCAAGGGGCTGAGATAACAGTGAGAAAGCTATATATGAAGATTTACATTGGACCACACCTAGGTAAATACTACCTATGCTACTCTAGTACACTAAACATGTTTGTTGAGGTCCCACAATATAGCAATGTTACCACAGCAGACACGTTTGTCTGATATTTAATGATATAATTTGAATGATCAAGGACAGTCTAAATAACTTTCACCTTGAATGGAAGTGATGTCATTAGTACTTTCTCTCTCTTTTATAATCCTTCCCAGCTGCTTAGGCTTTCAAGACAGAGCTCATCTGGGTTGGCACCAAGAAGAATAGTTTGGCATGAAGAAATGTCATGTCTCGGAGTATTATTCCAATTCTGGACTGCAGAACACCAATTGACCGCCAAAGCCGTCTCCTCCCAGTTATGGAAGGGCTGGGCTACAGACATCAAGCAGAACTGCAGGAAGGTGTAGGCAAGGAGAGCAAAGAGTCAGGCTGTGAGGGCTGACACAAAGTGAGTGCTCTGTTGAGGTCCTCCCTGCCTTTAATTTTTCTAGGCCTTGTCCATTCTCCAGTGGAAAACTCTCAAAGACCATATGCATCTATATGTAGTTCTAGAAAAAAAGGAAATATTCTTTTCTTGTTTGCCAGAGTGTAGCTGTCAAAGTCCAGGGAAAACCCGCTCAGCCTCCTTCAGATCCAATTTTTCCATGGTGCCTTTCAGATGAGACACAGAGAGGAACTCCTCATTACAATCTATATGAGGTCCATTTAGGAGGACGACCCAAATAGCTTTCTCTTGCTTTTAGAGGGACATGGTGCTGG